ATGTGTTTTGCAGGTGTGTGTGTCACCGGAAGTGTTTAATAAACAAACAGCCTCGTTTGGGGTCTAATGCTTTGTTGTTTTCATTATTTCATCTTTTTTTTTAAGAATTGTTCGCAAACTATCTCTTAACAGTCTCTTCAGGGATTCGCTCACCTATCTCTCAGTATCTAAACTGTTATGGAGCCACATCAAGCCTCTCAGAGCTATGTATCAACTGTATTTAAACTATCCCTGACTTATCTCTCTCAGTATCTGAGATATCGCTATTCCTACCTCTCAATATTTAATTTATTTGATGTATCTTGCAACAGTCTCATCGATGCAGGCGATGAGTCACAATAACGTGGCTGAAGTATGTTGACCAGACCACACACTAGAAATTGAAGGGACGACGACGTTTCGGTCCGTCCTGGACCATTCTCAAGTCGATTGTCAAAGGTCATTCTCAATCGACTTGAGAATGGTCCAGGACGGACCGAAATGTCGTCGTCCCTTCAATTTCTAGTGTGTGGTCTGGTCAACATACTTCAGTCTCATCGATCTCTGGACGGAAGAGCGACGGTCTCGCTTCATGCAGGTCAGCGTTCAATTCCCGACCGTCCAAGTGGTTGGGCACCATTCCTTCCCCCCCGTCCCATCCCAAATCCTTATCCTGACCCCTTCCCAGTGCTATATAGTCGTAATGGCTTGACCCTTTCCCCTGATAAGTTCTCTGCCTCATCGATCCAAGCTGTCGTTCAACTATCTCTTACAACTGCGCCAGTCCTTTCTCAACCAATATAGCTACAATAAGATAGCTGAGAGATATCTCAGCTATCTCAGATATCTCTCTCACCTATATCTTTACTAACTGTACAACTGTCTCTTGTTATCGATAATTTATGGCGAGATATGACGTGGCGATCACTAGGAGAGGAATATGGATACGATCTTAAACAGCTGCGTAAACAGTTTTAAGATGTTATCGCAAAGATTGGATGTCTTTCACAACATTTGGGATGAGATGCTTTGGAGATAACTCTCTCTCTCCCTCCTTTTGTGGAGGCATAATATATGCTATGATTGGTAGTTTGGCCGTTGGATCTTATAGAGGTAACTTCAGATGATAGGAATGTTGATGACTGCTAGTTTGGACTCTTAAAACAGGTAGATAGGTAATTAGGAAGATAATGAACTTAAGTCATTATGCCTGTACAGCACGTGGAAGAGATATAAGGAAAACAAGTTGGGATTGGACCGAGGGAACGAATGGTGTTCAATCCACTTCGGGGATCGATCGCCGACCCGGAAGATGTGAGACCATTGTTGTACCGACTCAGCTCTAAGATCACATTTCGAGTAAACATAAACAATTACCCTGTATTTTTTTTTATTGTATTCACTTATTTTCCTGGCTCGAACCGGCTCTTTCTGTCCTGGTCAACTGAAGGATCAGTATCAGTTGACCGCAAGGTCACGGGTTCGATCCCCCGATACTCCTTGTACAGTGCCATAAGTACTGTTATTGAGAATCTATTAAGCATTCAGAACATTTTAGTGTAGAATGCTGAGAGGAGAGAGGAATGATCAAAGCGCCAAGCCATTACGACTATATAGCACTGGGAAGGGGTCAGGATAAGGATTTAAGATGGGACAAGGAGGGTGGGGGGGGGGAGGGGCGCGGAAGGAATGGTGCCCAACCACTTGGACAGTCGGGGATTGAACGCCGACCTGCATTAAGCGAGACCATCGCTCTACCGTCCATTTGCTGAGGGTTTGCAACTTTCTATAACATTAGCTCTCACTCAAAATGTCTTCTCATCATCCTGGAACATTGTGGTATAAATTGTGCCAATATCCGTCTCGCTGGACTAATGGTAAGAAAGTACACTGTGTTTTCCCAATATATATATCACCTTCCACATTGTAAGCTAAATATTAATTCACTTTATCCAAAAATGTAAGTTTGATTTAGACTGCTGTACTCCTGTTTAGTCCAGCCATTATTGTAATGAATTGTATAAGTTGTTACGGGTAAATTTATAATTCTAATTTAGTCCTTCACACAGCGTGAGTTTATTAGACTCAAACAGTTCCAAAGAAAACACTACACCTTAAAATATTCGGTAAAGTATAATTGAAAGAAATATAATGAAATAAAAAACAAATTATTATTATTATTATTATTATTATTATTATTATTATTATTATTATTATTATTATTATTATTATTATTATTATACAAATTAAAAATAATGCTAATTATACTAAAAGATCATTCCTAGTTGTATGTAATTTAACTTTCTGTACTTTTTTTTTTTACTCATTGAATGATTTACATTTTCAATGAAATAGACAGCCAGTTTGGCAGCGACATCCGACAACTCGTTGTTTACATACGTGCAGAGACATCTAGTGGGTGTTGGAAGTACTGTGCTTACAGCGGGGATTATTTTTTCTCTTATGTTTAATGTTCTCTTGTATATTTCGTTGCGCGTTTACGGCTAACTGGTTGTTAAAGTGGTCACGAGAACCATTTATTTATTTTTGTATATTGGAGAGAGCTGTTGGATAATTGTGGCTGTAATAGAGAGTTGTTTAAGTTCTTGTTTTGTTGTTTGTGGTTGTTTTGAAGAGGGGGGAGGAGGGGGAGTAGGGGAAGGAAGAAGGTGAAGGGAGGGTATAACACTATTCTAGTTTTTTTTTTTATTATTATTTTCTACCACAAACGTGGCCACACATTTACAATGCTAACCAGCATATATACATTTTCTTCTGTCCTCCATGGACAGGGTTAGAGATGTGTTAAATATATAGTTCAAGGGTTTATTGAACAACTATTCTAGTGTGTAGACGCATACTAGTACTCACCTATTTGTGTTTGAGGGGTGTTGAGCTCTGGCTCTTTGGTCCCGCCTCTCAACTGTCAAGCAATTGGTGTACAGGTGGAGTTTGTCTCTCGTTGAATGGGGTTGTGCCTCTATTTTCATTTGGTACTAAACGTAATGGCTCTCTCTCTCTCTCTCTCTCTCTCTCTCTCTCTCTCTCTCTCTCTCTCTCTCTCTCTCTCTCTCTCTCTCTCTCTCTCTCTCTCTTCACACACACACACACGCCTGTGACGGGCTACTGTCAGAAGACTTTAGTATACACAAAAACAGAACCTTAAAACATCGATAAAGAAGTTAATTTTTAACCTAATGAAATTGACACAAACAAAGCGACCAAGACAGAGGTAGACACATACAGACACATAGTTATGGACAGACACTTGACTTAGTTGTCATGACTAGATTACATTTATCCAGAAAATATTTATTTTAAATTTAGTTATAAATAACTACATGTGTATTTATCCAACCACTTGGGCTGAACGGTAGAGGGACGGTCTCGCAACTTTCAGGTCGGCGTTCAATCCCCGACCGTCCACAAGTGGTTGGGCACCATTCCTTTCCTCTGTCCTATCGCAAATCCTTATCCTCATATCCCTTCTAAGTGCTATATAGTCGTAATGGCTTAGTGCTGTCTTCTGATAATCTTATCTTCACGTGTATTCATATGATGATTTAGCATTGTTAAGACTGATGAAAATTCTTAAGAATGGTGAAAATTCTTGTCTTCCGTAGGTGAGTGTTGACGTCTTTGGTGATTGGACGGCAGGGGTGAAGGTAATCAGTCAGCCTGTCAGGTAAGTTGCTGCAGTTACTATGTACAGTCACCGCCCGTCAGCGGCTGTCATCTGTATGATGAGTGAATCTGTGATACGCGGAGGTACTGTATACTGGACTGTGTTTAAGTATGTTAGGCTGTATGTGTGCGTGTATGCTCACCTTGCTGTGTGTTCGTGTGTGTGTGACTGTTTTGTGTGTGTATATATATATATATATATATATATATATATATATATATATATATATATATATATATATATATATACTCACCCTGTGTGGCTATGATACTTAACATTTCTAGCCAAGTTACTTAACCTCTTTGGGCAGTTAACGAGAGCTGATACTGTCATATCAGTAACGCTGGCCCCACTGTTGTTTGGGTCTCACGTTAAATTTGCTTTAACAACCCTCGTTACTCACGTGTAAGTGGACAGAACTACTTAATAAAGTTGTTCATAGTGGTAAATCTTCCTTTATCTCAGTGTTATCAAGTGGGTTAAGTGGTTTGGAAGAGTTTGGTGAGACCAGAGGTCCTGCGGCGCTCTTACCACTGATTAATGTCCAGACTGGCGTAGGTGCGCCAGGCGTACCAGAACATCATAAATTTAACATTCAAATATTAGCGCTTGACGCGTGAAGGCTAGCGTAGGTGTCAGGCGTACTAAGCAACATCGCCAAACCTGGCAGTAGAGACTGGCGTGACATCGCCAGACGAGGCAGGACAGGCTGGCGTGACATCGCCAAACGAGGCAGGACAGACTGGTGTAACATCGCCAGACGAGGCAGGACAGACTGGTGTAACATCGCCAGGCGAGGCAGGACAGACTGGTGTAACATCACCAGGCGAGGCAGGACAGACTGGTGTAGTAGAAATTTATTAAGGCTATTCAATAGCTCGGTCGATAGAGCTTCGGGGTCCAGGGTTCGAGTCTCCTAGAGCCCAGGTGAACGGAATGCAGAATAGAACCAATGAGGAGTAGAGGTGACATAGACACAATCAGAGAACACTGTCTGAACATCAGAGGTCCACAACTGGTCAACACCCTCCCAGGAAGCATTAGAAATATTACTGGTGCAAAGGTGGCTGTATTCACGAGGCACTTAGATAAATTCTTGCAAGAAGTGTCGGACCAACCAGGCTGTAGTGGATATGTTGGCCTGCTGGCCGCTCCTAGCAACAGCCTGTTGGACCAAGTTATCACAAGTCGAGCCTGGCCTCAGGCCGGGTTCGGGAAGTAGAAGAGCTCCCGAGACCCTCTCCAGGTATGCTCCAGGTATCGCCAGACGAGGCAGTAGAGCCTGACGCAACATCGCCAGGCGGCCTGCAGTGTATTCAGTCGGAGGTGTGGCTAATCATCCCTCGTGTCCGCTCTTGACAAACTCCCTCTTACCTGCAACTAATTGAGTGATGACCAGACTCGGGACGTGTGGCGCTGGTGCTTGGTGAGGTGCTTGGTGCTTTGGTACCTCTGGTTGGTGCTCTGGTACCTTTGGTTGGTGCTCTGGTTGGTGCTCTGGTTTGTGCTTGGTGCTCTGGTACCTCTGGTTGGTGCTCTGGTTTGTGCTTGGTGCTCTGGTACCTCTGGTTAGTGATCTGGTTGGTGCTTGGTGCTCTGGTACCTCTGGTTGGTGCTCTGGTTTGTGCTTGGTGCTCTGGTACCTCTGGTTAGTGATCTGGTTGGTGCTTGGTGCTCTGGTACCTCTGGTTAGTGATCTGGTTGGTGCTTGGTGCTCAGGTTGGTGCTCTGGCACCTCTGGTTGGTGCTCTGGTTTGTGCTTGGTGCTCTGGTACCTCTGGTTAGTGATCTGGTTGGTGCTTGGTGCTCTGGTACCTCTGGTTGGTGCTTGGTTTTTGGTGCTCTGGTTGGTGCTTGGTGCTCTGGTACCTCTGGTTGGTGCTCTGGTTGGTGCTTGGTGCTCAGGTTGGTGCTCTGGTACCTCTGGTTGGTGCTCTGGTTGGTGCTTGGTGCTCTGGTACCTCTGGTTGGTGCTCTGGTTGGTGCTTGGTGCTCTGGTACCTCTGGTTGGTGCTCTGGTTGGTGCTTGGTGCTCTGGTACCTCTGGTTAGTGATCTGGTTGGTGCTTGGTGCTCAGGTTGGTGCTCTGGCTCCTCTGGTTGGTGCTTGGTGATGACGGTGGTGCGTTATGATTGTTGTGGTGTGTTTGGTGATGTGGATGGTGCTTGATGTGGTTGTTGTTGTGTGTCTGTTGACATGGTTGACGCTTGGTGATAGTCCTGGTGTTTGGTGACTGAGGAATGGAACGTAAGGTGCCGTGCTTGGTCAGGAAGCAGCCCGTCCTCTTGATTTGCCACTCCGTAAAAAAATGCAACTGTTTTGCCTAACCAAGCGACGCCGATACATATAAAACGTAAATAATACGGCGCTTTAATTTTCCACTAATACCTCGGATTTTTTTCTTACGGGATTGATCAATTCCGTAAAGAACCCGACGTATTAGGTGAGAGGACAGGTGAAGAAGAGCATGGAACGACGACCCGGGGAAGGGTTGTTGTTGTTTCAGATTGAGCTACTCAGAACGAAGTGTCCCATGTAGCACGGACTATGGTGAGCCCATAAACAGGGAGGGGGATACACCAGTCAATTTACGACAAGACGACAGCTGGCGGGGAAGCCTCCAGCCTGTCGGCGTCATCTTGGAGGGTAAATGTCGCCTGCGTCAGCCACCACTCGTCCCTCACGGTGCATCTGGCTCCCTAACCTTCTTCCTGATTACCTCTTCCGTCTCACCTTCATCATCAAACAGGTCGTCATTATTAGGAGGCGCTTCGGTGTAATATTCCTGACGTGGAAAATTTGTCTTATGGGTGTGGGAGGAGGAAGGGCGGGATGTTTGGGGGTGCTTGGGCCATCTGTCATAGTTCTCCAGGAGCCCCTGCTAGGAGACCCTACTAGGAGACCCTACCGTGTCTCATATTTCTCCAGGAACCCCTGCTAGGAGACCCTGCCGTGTCTGTCATAGTTCTCCAGGAACCTCTGCTAGGAGACCCTACTAGGAGACCCTGCCGTGTCCGTCATAGTTCTCCAGGAACCCCTGCTAGGAGACCCTGCCGTGTCTGTCATATTTCTCCAGGAACCTCTACTAGGAGACCCTGCCGTGTCTGTCATGGTTCTCCAGGAACCCCTGCTAGGAGACCCTGCCGTGTCTGTCATATTTCTCCAGGAACCTCTACTAGGAGACCCTGCCGTGTCTGTCATGGTTCTCCAGGAACCCCTGCCGTGTCTGTCATAGTTCTCCAGGAACCTCTGCTAGGAGACCCTGCCGTGTCTGCCATATTTCTGCAGGAGCCTCTGCTGGGAAGACCAGCAGCACCAGCTTCCCCCTCCTACTACCTAGCTTGCCTGATGGTGCTTTAAATACCGCTAAGCACAGGGTGGAGTGATGAGCATTGACAGTTATTGTTTGAAATCATCACTTTCCCCCGGGAGTAAATTACACGTTAGCTAGAACACCCACCGCCGAGGCTTCACTCATGCACTCCAGAGAGTGAGGGCGCCAACCCGAAGACGCCATTCCTCTCTAACTTATCACTCGACCGGTTAATTTTACGACAATCGCAGCGATATTCTTCCCTATTTGCCCCGAGATGGATCGCCGTTTGAGGTGCCGCCATACACGGGGAGGTGGCGGGGAGGGGAGGGAGGAAGGGGGGGATGAATTGAGTGATAAATAAGGTTTAAGTCGACACTAGTGAGGTGGGATATGGCGCCCAGTTCCTCATGCTGGTCACTAAATGGCACCTGCTACATCACCTGACTGGTCGCCCGCCCGCCACTATCTGACTGGTCGCTATCATGGTCACTGCCACCATCACCTAACTGATCACTGTTATGGTCACCTGACTGTTCAGTACCATGGCCATCACCTGACCGTTCCATACCATGGCCATCACCTAACCGTTCCATACCATGGCCATCACCTGACCGGTCCATACCATGGCCATCACCTGACCGGTCCATACCATGGCCATCACCTGACCGTTCCATACCATGGCCACCGCCGCCCCCACCAGACTGTTTACTACCATGGTCACCTCACCAATATTAAAACCATTATCTTAAATCAATTTGGTAGGTGTAATACCAAGCGGAACGCACTGTATCACGAGCATTAAAGACTGTGTCTAGAGACAGTTCTTACCGCACCTTCCCGTAGCAAAAGCTGTGCTTTTTCCTGCCATCACAAGTTTATTTATTACAGGCAAAAACTACAATAACCTGAACAATACGTTAAACGCTGAATGGGGGAAAGATTCACCAGCGGTTTATAGGCAATTGAGGATATTTGTGTTAGCTACTGTAATCTTAACTCCAGCTGCATCATATTTTTATGTCAGACCATAGTAATTGAACGTCTTGTCACATTATAAGAACGGCTCCTCAACAACATATGTTCTCAAGTTACTCGTACGTACACTACGATAAAATAAAAACCTAGATTCTCTCAGATTAAGAAGTTATCATAGAAGTCTTGTTTTTATACACAACATTGTTATTGTTTTTCATGAACTGCCACATCTGGAACGAAGTGCCTCTTTACCTTTGGCACGTGCAACCCGTTCTCGCACTTGTTTATAGTCAATATTGGCTTATTTAATAAGAGCATATGTGACATACTAATTGATTGTGAATATTTTAGTCTTTTGAAAAGCTTTATAGAAAACACCGACCTCACCTAACCTTCTTAGTATGTTAAGATAAGCGTCTTATGGCTTCTTAATTACAATTATTACTTAACCTATACCGTTGATAGGTTAAGTAATAATTGTAAATAAGAAGCAATAAGATGCTTATCTTAACATACTAAGAAGGTTAGGTGAGGTCGGTGTTTTCTATAAAGCTTTTCAAAAGACTAAAATATTCACAATCAATTAGTATGTCACATATGCACTTATTAAATAAGCCAATATTGACAGTAAGTAAGTGCGAGAACGGGTTACAACGTGTCAGATTGAGCAGCGTTAAAAAGGTCGATGAGTATAGTCTTGAGCGATACTTTACGTCACAATATGTTTATTGTTTGTGATGTGTGTATATGTATGTATTAACACGATGTACTGAACGGGGTGAGAATAGCTTGAGCTACCTCATCCCTTTGTGTGTATTTTACATCAATAAACTTATTTTAATTTCAATTTCAAATTCAATTTCAATGTTGTCGTGATGTTTAATAGACGCCTCAAGGATTTACGCCCTAGTTGATGCATTTGTGTATCTAGTTCGTAATTATATTGATCTTAAACATCTTGATCAATAAAATCCTCTTTAATGAACGTCTAGAAGCGACCTCTCGTACCATAACTTGTTTATCAACTAGCTAAGGTGTCAGTGTTTGCCAGGGGGAAAAACTCGGTCAAATAAATCCTCACCACACATTTGCTCAACACGGAGTCGGTCGGCCGAGCGGACAGCACGCTGGACTTGACATCCTGTGGTCCTGGGTTGGATCCCAGGCGCCGGCGAGAAACAATGGGCAGAGTTTCTTTCACCCTATGCCCCTGTTACCTAGCAGTAAAATAGGTACCTGGGTGTTAGTCAGCTATCACGGGCTGCTTCCTGGGGGTGGAGGCCTGGTCGAGGACCGGGCCGCGGGGACACTAAAGCCCCGAAATCATCTCAAGATAACACCATAATAACATCTTTACCATTTCCATTTCTTCTATGCCACCAGGGTTACCCCCCCCCCCCAGAATACAAATTGAATGACACGTCTTCATATATATGATAACCAACAGCACTATATGTACTCACTACACAATAGTGTCATTCAGTGCCTCACTACTCACGATCTTTTTCCCGACAATATCCTCACAACTACAGTTGACTATCTTGGGCCTCCGTGGACCCCGGGGTTCCCCCAGAATCCTAGATTTGTAGAATCGGACTTCTGTTTGTAAATAAAATATATTGGTCGCGTGCAGGGATCCTACTGCAAAATTTGAACGCTGCTGTGTTAAGCAAAACAGAAAGTAGTCATAGCTATGAACAATGGTAAGGGGGCTGGGGCTAGATTCACGAAAGCACTTACGAACGTGTACATCTTTCCTCAATCTTTGACGGCTTTGGTTACATTTATTAAACAGTTTACAAGCATGAAAACTTCCCATTCAACTGTTGTTATTGTTATAAACAGCCTCCTGGTGCTTCGGAGCTCATTAACTGTTTAATAATTGGAAACAAAGCCGCCAAAGATTGAGAAAAGGTGTACACGTTCGTAAGTGCTTTCGTGAATCTAGCCCTTGGAGCCCAAATTAACCTATGACGTCCTCGGGTTAAATTAAAAAAAAAAGTGGGTGATTTTAGGAACCGGAACCCCACGTTCTCTCTGAAACCTTCCTCGAGTCATTGACGATTTAATTTTTTGTATTTTTTCGTCGCATTACTTTTCATTCTGTATTTAGCTGGAGTATTATTGTTTGTATTTTTTGCTACTGAATATTTGTATACATTTTATCATGTTAATTTTACCGGAGTTGACCGGAAACCGGAATTTATTGTAGCATAATTTTGTCCATATTTGTGCGTCAGGTCTTGATATTGTATAAGAAACCACAGCATCCACTGACTTTCACAGTTGCCATAGTAACTATAGAACTGTGTCCGTTGGTCAGCTGTTGTTCCGTAGGCCCGGCTCATTGGCCAGCATGTCGTCAGTGTGTTCCCACGTATGTTGTATGTTGTATTATCAGATATATATACATTTGTATTACTGTATCGTATCCCCCCCCCCCCACCACCACACTAAATCAAGAGTCCTTTCCTCCATCACACTAATCCAGGAACCCCTTCACCCACCACATTAAACAAAGAGCTCCCTCCCACATCACACTAAACCAAGAGGTTGTGTGTAGTGATGGCTTGGGTGATTGAAGAGTTGGGTTGAGGTGAATTGGTTGTTGTTGAGTTGGTGTGGTGGAGGGGTGGGGATGGTTGGGGGAGAGTTGGGTTGAGGTGATAGATAGTGGGGGTTGGTTGGAGTGGTAGAGGGGGGGGGGGGGGTTAGGTTAGGGGTGACGGAAGGATGGGTGGTTGAGGGGGTGGGTGGTGCTGGGATAGGGATGGCTTGGTGGAGGGGTTGGGGGTGGATGGTGCTGGGATAGGGAGGGGTTGGGGGTGGGTGGTGCTGGGATAGGGATGGCTTGGTGGAGGGGTTGAGGGGTGTGGATGGTGCTGGGATAGGGATGGCTTGGTGGAGGGGTTGGGGGTGGTGGGACAGGCGGCGGAGGCAGCAGCAAGAGTTAAGGCGTTTTGGGACGCACCTTTATTGGTCGTTTAAAAACTTTCGATCATTATGATAAGCGGTGATTTGTCAGGGAACCTTTAGTAATTTCCTTATATTTGTGTCGCACTAAATTTCCCCGCCGAGGGATATCAAAGTCGAAGGTTGGTGGAGGAGGCGAGGTTCGACTTCTGAAGAACATAAACAACCGCCATCCTGAGCTTTCAATAATGCATCACAAGATTTCTCATCACTGGGTTGTCCATCTACTTGAATTGGTAGGCACAGTGACGGCTTGGCTTCTTGTGGCTCCTTGTTCGATCCCCAGTAGTCCTCCTGGTGGTTAGACACCGGTCCTTCGCTCCGTTCTCATATCCTATTTCCTTGTTCTCATACCCTAGCTTCTTGTCCTCATATCCAGGCTCCTTGTCCTCATATCCAGGCTCCTTGTCCTCATACCCTAGCTCCTTTTCCTCATATTGTCAGTTCCTTGTCCTCATACCCTATCTCCTTGTCTTCATACCCTATCTCCTTGTCTTCATACCCTAGATACAATATATACAAGAGTTGTTACATTCTTGTACAGTCACTAGTACGCGTAGCGTTTCGGGCAGGTCCCTGGAATACGATCCCCGCCGCGAAGAATCGTTTTTTCATCCAAGTACACATTTTACTGTTGAGTTAAATAGAGTCTACAGTTAAGGAATTGCGCCCAGTAAATCCTCCCCGGCCAGGATACGAACCCATGACATAGCGCTCGCGGAACGCCAGGCGAGTGTCTTACCACTACACCACGGAGACTGTGTAAATAAACTGTAAATAAACATATTAGTTTGGCCATTGCTAGAGAAGAACTCGTTTGCATGCTCTCCATTAATCATATTTATAAGGAAGCTGAATATATGTTAGGTAAACTAATAGTTACTAACGAAGAAGTTAGCAAACACTTATGCAAACTAAAGCCCTGAAGTCTCTCAAGTCGCTGATGAACTATAGGTAAATATTTTTCTATATGTATATGTAAATATGTAAATAATCGTCATCCGTTGTAAATTATTTTCAATAACTCATTGGAGTGGATCACTATGACAGAACTGCTGAGGGTTGTGAATGTTGTGAAGATTATTAGGAAGGAATATAGATCACTTATATTAAACTATATTCCAATTCGTTTTAACATTAATTTTATGGAAAATTATTCAAAACGATTATCGCTATAATGCCTTTCGTATTCTTGATATCTTGAAAAAGTACAAAAATCTTCTTGAAAATAATTGATTGAGTAATCTTGAAAAATTACAAAAAAAAAAAATAAAGTGTATAACAGTGCTTTACAGAAGAACGTCCGTGTTTGACAAACGAACTCTCGTTTTCCCCTAACATATTAGAAACAGTAGACAGTGATAAAGATTACGATAATACATATATAAACTTTTGCCAAGCTTTTGACACTGCTCCACATGAAAGATTGGTAAAGATACCCCCATTTTGCACCCGCGAGATAACGTAAGATTTTAAGGGTTGACAGATGTTAATATTCTAGTTTGAGGAGCTGTTCACTTGAGACAGTTAAGCAAGTCCCAGCTGTGTCTGGGTACAAGTGACGGGATGAGCAACCCAGCGGGTTTTCTTCCTATTGGGGAGTGTTGTACATGCTGCTATGGCGGTATGACCACTCACAGGATGAGTGGCGCTGCCCAATAAACTCGCCCCTCGGGGCAAAATTTAAAATTTAATGTCAAATGGGGCATTGAAGAGACACTCTTCCTCTGGACCAATACACGGTTACCAAAGAGAAACAA